GGGGCAGGGAGAAAAGGAAGGAAAAGAGGGTGGAAGTCGAGGACTCGTGTGCGGGCCTGAGCAGGCAGCCAGACCTGCCCCCAAGGGAAAATTCCCTTCATACATACTGTGTGTGTGTGTGTGTGTGTGTGTGTGTGTGTGTGTGTAAAATTCCCTTCATACATACTGTCTGAAAGTCCTGTAAAGTTTTCTAATAGCGTGAGAAGTCCAAATGTGACCTTATCTCTAAAGTGACATGTGGAGCTATTATCTGTTGCATAGACATTAAAGGTAGCTGGGACAAGACCAGAATGGTGCCAGGCCATTGGGCAGCATTGTCTCTCAAGTCCTGCTTAGTGCTGACTACCCCATTTCCTTGTTCTTCCAGCCGGTGTTTGCCCCCATGCTTCAAAGCAACCCACGCATGCTGACGTCGGGGAGCCATCCCCAGGCCATTGTGTCGTCATCCACCCCTCAGTACCCTTCTGCAGAGCAGCCCACTCCCCAAGCCCTTTATGGTGAGTTTGTGCTGTACCTGTCCTTTGCAGACTGCGCTCAGCCCCTCCTGTGCCTGACACTGATCCTCTCCCTCTTTGTTGCTGCAGCCACTGTTCACCAGTCCTACCCACACCATGCCACGCAGCTCCATGCCCACCAGCCGCAGCCGGCCACCACGCCTACTGGGAGCCAGCCACAGTCCCAGCATGCGGCCCCCAGTCCTGTCCAGGTGCCTGCCAAGGGAGATCCAAGTGGTGGGGCAAGAATGGATGGTTGGAAGAGGGATAGATCTAGGGATCATTCCCCAGGGGGGAGGATTGGGGTTGGTGGGCCTGGGTACAAGAGAAGTGGGTGGTACTCACCCTTCCCCTCCCCCTGACAGCACCAGGCGGGGCAGGCACCACACCTGGGCAGTGGACAGCCACAGCAGAATCTGTACCACCCAGGGGCCCTGACAGGCACGCCGCCTTCTCTGCCACCGGGACCTTCTGCCCAGTCCCCCCAGAGCAGTTTTCCCCAACCTGCCGCTGTGTATGCCATCCATGCCCATCAGCAGCTGCCCCACGGCTTCACCAACATGGCCCATGTTACCCAGGTAAGAGCCCAAGGGACCCACTTCTTTGTGTTGACCTTTGAACCCAAGCTGTGGTTTTTCCCATTCAGGACCTCTGGTGTCTTCCACACCCTGGCACTAGGTCTGTCTCTCAGGGTCTACCTCAAACTTCTGTGGTGCTCTCAGCTCCTTTTTGTTCTCTACAGGCCCATGTCCAAACTGGAATCACAGCAGCCCCGCCCCCTCACCCTGGGGCTCCCCACCCGCCCCAGGTGATGCTGCTGCACCCACCCCAGAGCCATGGGGGCCCCCCCCAAGGCGCGGTGCCCCAGAGTGGGGTGCCTGCACTCTCAGCTTCCACACCCTCACCCTACCCCTACATCGGACACCCCCAAGGTGAGCAGCCTGGCCAGGCGCCTGGATTTCCAGGAGGAGCCGATGACAGGATTCGTGAGTTCTCGTTAGCTGGGGGAATTTGGCATGGAAGAGCTGATGGGCTGCAGGTGGGGCAGGATGCACGGGTTCTGGGTGGGGAGTGAGGGGTCTTGGAGGCAGGGCTGTCCCACAGGGCGCCCGCCGACCTGCACCTGTCTGTGAAGTATGTAGGGTGGGCAGAAGCCACAGTCGCCGCCGCCAGGGGCTTGCTCCTGGCTCTGTCCTTTGCTTCCCTCCGTCCTCGCTCAGTTGTGATCCAGCAGCCCCCCTCCCCACTGCCTCCCCAGCTCTCAGTGACCCCGACTGTCTCCTGACTTAGCCGAGGTAAGGTCAGCGCAGCAGACAGGGCCAGGCTGGGGTGTGGGGGGCTGAGCTGGGCACATGAGTAAGGGCACTGGCTCACTGGGAAACAGCGATTGATCTGTGCTTCTGACAGCCCCATGAGACACCTTGAGGAGGCCGCTCCTACCCAAACACTCCCCCCACACCCCACACTGGACGGCATTGGATAAAGGGACAGCTGCTTGGGTTCTAATGCTCCTGCTCTCTTCTCTTTCCCCTCCAACCAGTTCAATCTCATCCCTCCCAGCAGCTCCCCTTCCACCCCCCGGGGAACTGAAGATTGTCCTGGCCGCGACCTGAGACCTCCATGAGTGGAGGGAAGAGTGATCTTTGTCTCTTCCCCCAGCAGCTCGGACCAGTCCCAGCCCCCCAAACCCCCCCTTTCCCCGGGGGAGCTGGGGAAATCCTGCCAAGCACCTTGAATGGGAAGGGCCTCAAAGTGGGCAGGGCCAGGGTCCAGCGGGGGTGGGGGGTTCCTGCTCTGCCCTTGCCCATCCCCACCCTCTCTTGCCCTCCCATCCTCTCATCTATCCCCCGCTGAAGACGGAAGATCTTTTATTTTCTATTATTTATAACCTCAGACTTGGGCCCCCCTGTTCTTTCTTCCCCATTAACTTGAGTGATCTGCGTGAAAGACAGACAGATGCCCCATAAGGATGGTTGGACAAGGACTTTTACTTTTTATTACATAAAAATATTAAAAAAAAATTAAAAAAAATAAAATTTTAAACTAACTTAACCTGCCTGTACTTTTCTCTTTGGAGAGCAGAGGGGTCATAGCAGTCAGTGCATGTGTGGTATGGACCTGGCAGCGCACTGCAGTCTACAGATCTCCATCTGCTGTAGACTCCAACTTTATTTACTGTTGGCACCCTCAAAGTGGCCTCACCTTGGATGTGAAGTTCTCGTTAATTTGTGTCTCTGGAATTGTATCTTTACGTGAAAAGCACTTGGGTGTTTGGCCATTGGGCCAAGACCAACCGAGATGTCTTGGGTCTGGGTGAGAACTTTACAGATGGAGCTACTAGTAGGAGAGGATGTAGGCTGAGAATCGAGCTTTAGGGATATAGGGGCTGAACATGGGTTACAGGGGAGAAGAGCTGAGGGAGAGAGAAACAGGCTTCAGGTGAGGGGCTTTTCTCAAGAAATTACAGTGTGGAATACCAACAGACCTTGGCTTTCTCATCGGTCAACTAGCTCACTGTGTAGGAGTGCGAGGACGGTATTGCTGCTCAGTGGCAGGCCAAGAGTGTCTTGGCTCCAAGCAGAGTCTGAAGAGTTCCCAGGTGTGTGGATCCGAAACCTAGAATATAGGCAGTAGAGGCATGCGTGTGGAAGGGAATGACAGGTTTAGGAAAGGCTCTGCCTGTGCCAGCCAGCCAACTGCTCAGAGGGCACAGGTTGGGGTCCCCAGTGGAAGAGCTCTTAAGGATGTCAGTAGGGGCTGGTGGAGTGCAGAGATGGGAGAAGCATCTTCAGATGTCTGAAGTACAGAGGGGCCAGGTTCGTAGGGGGTCTCTGTGTTGTGGAAGATTGCAGTGGCTCAACGTACTCTAACAAGCTCAGAAAGGAACCTGTTCCTTACCTAGGCAGGAATTCTGGCCTGGCTTGGACGCTGAGGAGGGTAAAAGGTGCCTGTTCTGGTGGGACACCACTGTGTGTGAGATACTGTTCTTCCCTCTCGCCTGCTCCTGTGTGCCTTGCCTGAACGTGGTTTGGAAAGGATGCCTACTAATCCCTGCCCGATGTTATCTGTGATCAGGGTCACATCCTAGCCAGTCATTCACGTTTCTTAACTAAACACTGGACTGATCTTCTTAAAATCTCAGTAAATGTTGAGAATGAAATCTTATTAGAAGCTTCTCGCTCTAGTGGTACAGCAGTCGCCACTCACCAAGTAGACTATGTTACCACATATTTAGCGCATGGCTGGGTCCCTGACTACTCCCAGGAAGTGAGGTGGATCTGGTGCCAGAGCTGAGCCCATGCTGCCTCTAAGTGACCACCAGATCCTTTCCCAGGACCTCCCTTATCTTGTGGCATTTTACTAGGCAGAAACTCATCTGGCCTACAGCACCGCCTCTCTGTTCTCCGACTTTAACAAATGACACAGACTGACTTTACTATTCACAGAACAGTTTATTGACCACCTCCCCGGCAGACCATGGCCCTTCCACCGGGAAGTGTCGGTCTAGCAGCACTGTACCGGGCTGCAGCGTGTGCCCTCGGGAGGGGGCACCAGGAGCAGATGACACTGGCCAGCCTGAACAGACCACCTGAGGTCCAGACTCAACTCCACTTGAGGTTCTTGTCCTCCTCTGTCATGGCCGACGTGTCCGTGACGAGGCCAGTGCCGATAGTGCGGTTGCCGTCCCGCAAGGTGAAACGCTGCCCTTTTTCTAAGATCATTGGCTGCCGCAATATTAGGCTGAGCTTCAGGTCCTCCCCGGGCATGGCCAGCTCCTGGAGGGGCAGAGAGAGAATAGGCCTGACCTTTGCGTTTCCTTGACTGTTCACTGCTGGCAACCAAAGAGGCTAAAATTACAGGAAAACGGCAGGGCGATGAGCCTTTCTGGGGACAGCCTCATCCCTGGCTGTCAGGCAGAGGCAAACAGCTTGTACAAGGCAGAAGAGAATCCATGACCAGTCTTCCAAAGGTACTTTCTTAGAAAAAAGGCACAGGATAACGGACCAGGCGAGAAAATAACAGCTATCTACCAGAGAGATTTTATGGGGGTGGAGTGGGGAGTGGGATCAAAAACAGTGGGGGGAGGGAAATGCACTGGACTTTGGTAATGGCACATGGGTGATTTGGTGATGGGAAGCACATAGGGATTACAACTGAGATGGAAAAATGCACAAAATGATGTAAAAGTAAACTATTATATAAAAATTTAGAATGGAAAAAAAAAACCCACAAAATTTTGGATTATGTAGGTTTCTTAGTCAAGGACTTCTCTGAACCCTTACTCTGGGAAATCTCTGGGCAAGTCCTGGCAGAGCTGAGTTTTTAACCTACTTCAGACTAAGACGTCAAGGATGGGGCCCCATTCTTCCAAATCTGCCTCTTCATTCAAGGGAAGTGAGACTGAGGCAGAGCTGGGATGAAGTGTGCTCCCCTTCACCCCCCACAATTCTTCACACACTCTGTATCCACAGTACCTTTCCTGGAGGCAAGAGGACACGACAGGCCATGTCCCAAGTGAGGGAGAACATGACAGGCATGAAGTGGGACACAAAAGGTTTGTGACGGCCACCTTCCTCCTTGCTGAGGATATAAACCTGAAAGAGAAAGCAGTGAGGATACAGCTGGGCTTGGCTGAAGCACTGTCCTTCTACAGGGGTCAGCTTGCCCCGTTGGTCATCTGGACACCTCACCTGTGCCTCCACCTTCTGGTGGGGTTGGATGGAACCTGGCTTAGCCATGACCAGGCCACGCCTCAGGTCTTCCCGCTTCAATCCTCGAACCAAGGCTCCAAGATTATCTCCTGCTTCTGCCCTCTCCAGGCTCTTGTGGAACATCTCAATGCCTAGGAGGGGGGGAGGGACAGGGAGAAGGGTCTGTCTGGGCAGAGGCAAGGCAGTGTGATCCAGATGGGACAGGACATCCTGGAGCCAGTTCCCAGGTCCCAAGCCTTGCTTCCTGTACCTGTTACCACAGTGCGAATGTTCTTGCTATGTCCCAGGAATTCACACTCATCTCCCTTTTTCAACACACCACGCTCTAGTGTGCCTGTCACCACTGTGCCCCGGCCTAAGAGGAAACCAGACATCAGGAACCATGGGGAGACTACTGCTTGAGAGAGGGAATTTGAATGAGCACAGTTCTCACCAGGAATAGAGTAAACTGACTCTACAGGGAGCAGGAAAGGCTTCTCCAGGTCTCGGGTGGGCACTGGGATGTAAGTGTCCACAGCATCCAACAACTTCTGCACAGACTTCAGGCCTAGTTCAGGGTCACGTTGCTAGGGGGACAGGTAACAACACACTGAAGTTTCTATTCTCTTCTTTACCAAGAGCTACTCCCCAAACAGCTCTGACTGTCCTCCCAGTCTCTGCAGCAGTAGTCCCTGCCTGACCCTTCATTCACCTCGAGAGCACAGAGGGCAGAGCCTACAATGACTGGGGTCTCCTCCCCTTTGTAGCCAAACTCAGTGAGCAGTTCCCGGATCTCCAGCTCCACCAGCTCCACCATCTCGGCATCTTGGACAGCATCTGCCTTGTTCACGTATACCACAACGTGCTCTACTCCAATCTGGAGATAGGAAAGAAAATGAGATGGTGTCCAGAGCGACTTACCTCCGGCCTTTTTCACACCTAATCAGCACTGAGTACCTGTTTAGCCAGTAGTAAGTGCTCTCGGGTCTGGGGCATCGGGCCGTCGTTGGCTGCCACCACCAGGATGCAGCCATCTAGCGGGGCAGTGCCCGTGATCATATTCTGGTTAAGAGGAGAGGGAACACTCAGCTGAGTTATTTCAGGAACCTCAGCTCCACATTCACCTTGTGGAGCACAGCAAGAACAGAGTCCCACCCTTCTCTTTCCACCTACATGAGAGGCCATGCCCACAAATCCAGGGTTTCAGAACCATACATTTTGAATATCTTAACTTCCTCTCCACCAGCCTAACATTTTAGACAGGAGGCTGCACCGACTCTCACCTTAACATAATCTGCATGCCCGGGGCAGTCAGTGTGGGCATAGTGACGGGCGGCAGTGCTATACTCCACGTGGGCCGCGTTGATGGTGATGCCTCGAGCGCGCTCCTCCGGGGCATTGTCAATCTCCTCGTACTTCTTGAACTTGGCCCCACCTCCCTCGGCTAATACTAAAAGGGAGGGGGAGATACATGGCTCAGCTGAAGTTCCAGGGGTAGAGGCCAGGTTCAGGCCACACCCTCGGTTCCCTCCCACCTAGTCAAGACAGTCTGCAGACTATAAAGCTTCCGTGACTCTCCCTCAGTCCCTCCAGCAGCGGTAACTTCGGCTCAGAGAAATGCTGAAAGGCTTCAGGGTCTGGCCCTGCAACTTCTTTAAGGTAAAGCCTCTGCTCACAGAGCACTTCCTGCAAGGGGAGACCACTGCAAATCTGTCTCCTGCAGCTTCTAATTCACTGTCCGCAGAGTTCAGCCCCGTGGGGTCACACTACACACCTCCAGCGGCTCTCCTGCTGGCCCCACCCCCTGCCAGGGCAACCGTGCTGCCGGACGCCCCCACTCCAACCTGCTTACTTTTCGTGATGGCCGCGGTGAGTGTGGTCTTGCCGTGGTCCACATGCCCGATGGTACCCACGTTCACGTGGGGCTTGTCGCGCACATAGGTCTTCTTGGCCTCCACGGCCAGGCCGCGGCACAATACGGGCAATGCCGAGATCTTAAGCGGCCGCAACAGACCCTGCAGTAACGGGGCTGGGCCGGCGCCAAAACCTGCGGGAGCAGAGGCACGGAGTCAGGGCGCGGGTCAAGGCGCGGCCGCAAGCTACGCACCCCCAGGCGTCCCGGGCTGCCATCGCCCTCCCCGCCCCCCTCACCGCTGAAGAGGGGCGTCGCGCGCAGGAGGGTGGCGGCCGCCATTCCGGTCTTTACTCCTGCCCCGAGTACCGAGTACCGGTACCAGGTGCCCGCGCATGTAGTAAGAAAAGGGCACGGGCCACGGAGGTCACTTCCGCCGGAAGTCAAGACCGGGAGGGCAAGTCTGGGCGCCTCTAGCCGCCCGTTTTTATGGTCATCTTTGACTTCCGGGTGCGGGGAGGAAGAGGTCGAGGGAGGTACTAGTGCCTGGGGCTGGAGGAGGGTTCTTCATTGCCCTCGGCCTCTAGGGCGAGGGAGCTAGGTTCTCTCAGGCGACGCCGCCGATCAGGAGCGGGTGGGTGTGTGTGGAGCTCCCCAGAATGCACCAGCGCCCGAAGGCTCCTAGGCCGTGGTAGTTCCCAGCGGGCGCCTGTGCCTGCGCTTAGGATGGGGGTGAGGCGGGGCTCGAAGGGCGGCCTCGGACCCGAGACAAAAGAGGTGACCGGCACGGACTTCTCAAAACGTCCCGGCCACCCAGCGCGGGTCTGACGGGAGACCGGAGCCTGAGGTAGGGTGGGCCCTGCACCTCGCTGAGAAGACGGTCCTAGGCGTTTGTCGGGCCCCAGTGGAGCCCATTTCTCCTCTGCGTTTTTGCTTTTCTTATCTGTAAGACGGGAATAGTAGTATCCGCTTCAGAGAGGGCTGACTTCTCGCGCTCAGAAGTGGGGGCCTGGGCCCAGGTCCCACAGTCATTGATCCTCAAATACCCACTCTTCGGCTCACGGCCTGCGGGCACTCTACTGCCTGTCTCACGTGGTCGGAACCCCCGAAGTAGCCCTCACCCCAGAGTAACTCCCTTCATCGTCGCCCCACCTACCCTTTTTACAGAAGATACCTAGAGTGGAGGACCAGCCTCAGCTTTAAGGTAGCCCCAGCGTCCTAACAGAGGCAGCTCACCTAGTGAGTGCTCAATAAATGACTGTTGACTGAGTGCGTGAGTGTAAGGATAGTACATGACCATTATTTATTTTCTTTAAAGGTTTATTTATTTGTGCATACAGAACCGGGGTACAGGCCAGAGGTGCAGGGGCGGTGAGAGGCTTCACCAGAGACAGAGTGGGGAGCAGAACAGGCCAACTGACAAGTACACTGCTGAGGGGAGCAGTGGGCGGGTCAGGAGAGGTCTGCCACACCCTGTGGGTCACCTCCAGGGCCAGGATCGAACTGGCGCAGAAGTGGCTTTAGCTTCTTAGTGCTGTGCATTAACCCACAGAGCCACCAGGGAGAGCCCCTTACATGACCTTTAACTTTCACAACCATCACCTCTCAGAGCTTCCAGACTCATCTTGGGATAAAAATAGTAATTGCTTACTGTTGATTAATGTTCATGAAAGTCATCAGATCCTAAGACTCCATTGATAATGTTTGTTTCAAATTTTATATTACTTACATATAAGTTTGTATTTAGTTTTTGGGAAAAAGAGAAAAAGACCGACATAAGTAACTATTGAGTTTAAAATTAATTTTTGAGATGTTACAGGGTAGGTAATGTGGTGGGCTATATGAATAGATGGCAGATTTGAAGGAAGGTTGTACCTGAATGACTGGAATTTGGGAGACAAAGGGAGCAAAACATTTGTAGAACAACTGATTGTATCATATCATAGTGGGGAGTCTTGATTTATGGATAACAAAAAATTTATATTAATGGCTTAAGCAGAAAGTAGACTTGTTTACAAGTGGTAGGCAGCTTACACAGTTGTGAGGCAGATTAGAGAAATAGAAGCCATGGAACTGATCTCACCTGACACGAACACTGTTGCTACCACCATTTCCAGCTGACATTAAATGCCAAGACTTGAGGAGACTTGTCTGCAGCAACTACAGCTGCTGGCTCTGAAAACAGTTCTGCATCAAGCAAGTGACCTTACCTCATCCGTGACCCCAAAGCCAGGCAAATCTAAAGCCTCACATGGGTGTGATTCAAAAAGCCTAGATCATCATGTGTCAGTGTTGTGGTATCAGAGGAGGCTGAGAGATGTATTTTAACTTTGGTGCTGGCAAGCAGAACTGACAGCAGAGGATTTCCCTCTATGTCCAGTCTCTTCAACATATGGTCATTGTGAGCTGACCGATATCACAGTGAAAGGGCAGAGTGAACATAAATGTCTAGTACGTGAGGACATAATACAGCACGAAATTTGGCATAGTCAGAAATGAAATATTAATGGAGTGGGATCAGAGTTACAGAGCCAAGGGGAGCCAACCACCTGTGAGAATGCTTGTGAGCAATGTTAACTGAGGAAAGCAGGCTAGCTACTATGGAACAATGTCCTGTGTGCATGGTGGAGGCAAGGGAAATTAACTTCAGTAGCTAAATTTGCTTGGAGAACAGAGATTTTCTCTCATTCAAACATTTGCTTTATGTGATTACAGTTAAAGAAAAATTCTTTGTGTAGAATCTTGAGCTCTTTAAAAAAGATGTTCTCGAAATCAAATAGCCTGGGCCCCCCTGGTGGCACAGGGGTTAAGTTCCTGCACTAAACCAGCTATTACAGCCTGCCTTTGATCTCTGGCCAGGGAGCTGACTCATGGCAGCAGCAGACCTCTGCTGTCCCCCGCTGCTCCCCTCAGCAGTGGATTTCAGTGGATCTGCCTGTTTTGCTCCCCATTCTGTCTCTGACAAATCCTTTCACCCCAGTACCTCTGGTCTGCACCCCAGTTCTTAAAAAAAAGCAAAACAGTCCTGGGTTCTCCCTAGCAGTCTGTTCATTCTGCTGCATGGCAGACCCTTTGAGCTCCTGCTTAAAAGCCCTGTTTCCATTAACCCAGGTCTAACTTATGGCCTAGCCCTGCTCATTCTTTCTTCAGAATGAATCCGGAATGGACCATATCTCCTTAACACCAGTGGCAACGGTGTGGTTCAGCGTGGGGTCACCTCCCCACTGATGCTCTGCCTATTCTGCTCTTATTCTCAGTATCTGTCATTTCCATCCTCCACACAACACAGGTCAGGCTTTCAAATGTGAGTCAGCCATTAATTCTCCCTCAAGAATTCCTTATGACCCTTACAATAAAACCCAAGCTCTTACTTTATTTTTTTTTTATATTTATTTTTATTTATTTATGCATTCAAGAGCTGCAGTGTATGCCAGAAGTCGGGGGTGAGGGGATTCACCAGAGACAGGGAAACAACAGAAAGATCGATTGAAATACACCCCTCGGGGGAGCAGCAGGTGAGAGGGGAGAGGGGTCCTGTGCCATGTGAGTCAGTTCTCTGGCCAGGGATCAGACTCAGGCCTTAGTGGCTGGCATTCGCTCCACAGTGCTGAGACTAACGCCTGTGCCACTCATTTTAAATGAGTAACTTGTATGGCAGGTGAATTATATCTCAATGAAGCTGCTACAAGAAAATAATTCAGTGAAAATTTTTAAAATAAATCCAAACTCCTCCGTGTCCCACAAGGCCTTAAGAACTTGACCCCGCCCAACCTCTTGACTACATCTACTGTGACTGTTCTTTTCCTCTCCTGGCCACATTGGCCATCCTGCCAATATCTTGTTTCTTTACAGATGTCTTCCCTCCTCCCGGATGCGTGTCCTTGTGGCTTTCCTGGCGGCTTGTTCCTACTCATCATTCATGCCCCACCTCTTCCCCCTAACGTGGCCCCAAGTCACCCTCTTTATCAGGTGTCCACTGTTCCTGAGTTTTCCCTCCTTTTTTCCTGTCTCACCAGCTTATGACAGGCATCCTATTCTGTCCCCAGTAAGAACTTTAAGAACAGTGCCTTGGACACGTCAAGTAAATAGTGTTTGTTGAAAGAACTACATGTTGAACCATTTCACCTGAACTCTTCTGTTGGGCTTATCGTTTCCCAATGTTTTTGATGGAAAGTAAGCTTTGTATTCACATTAATTTTACAAATAAAGGTGAGCTATTATAACTTTTTGGGTCTGCTTTATTATCTATAAAGTGGGGAGGGAGTGAAGAGGTTAAAGTATGTGATCTCTAAGAGTTCTTGTAGCACTAGCTTCTTGAAGTGTGTGTGGTGGACTGGCTTGCAACTAATGGAAAATTGGAGAGTAGGGCCAAGATGAGAGCACGTCTCTCTAGCTCCAGCATGTCCCACCTCTTCCACCTCACTACCAGTCAGTGGACTTTTTGGAAGCAGAAGGGCAGGCTGAACTCTTCCTTAGAAATCTCTATACATTCTCTTGGTACTACACTGAGCTGGCCAGGTTGGCATCAGACTTCTGGAGCACTGCCACACTGCTCTCTACAACCAGTCCTCACTGCCCCAGTCTAGACCTGGATGCCTTTCCAAACATAGACCCCTACCACTTGGAGGTGACTGGAGACATTCCAGTTGGGGACATTTTGTGAATCTCACACAGAAGCTAAGTAAGTAAAAGGCACTTGAGACATGCCTAGATGGGTTGGCATGGCTTTCTAAGGAGGCCACACTTTGAAGCCTAAGACAAGAGGGAGGAAAACTAATGGAAGTGAGTGTGTGTGTGGGTTCAGAGGCAGAGTCCAAGTGAAGGTGGATTACTTCAGGCTGTGGAAATGACCTGACTGAGCAGGCATAGTTTGGGGCCAGGATGTCCAAGTTAAAGCACATGGCTGCATCTGACATCCCAGAAAAGAGAAGAAGAGAAATCTCCCCCTCTCTTGGGGTGAGGGAGGATCAAGGTGATCTCTGAAAGAATCCCACACGCCACCACTTTGCCTTCAGTTGGAGGCTCATGTTTTCTTGAGAAGAGCCACTCTTGCTATGCTCAGTCCATGCCAGACTCAACCACGGTTCTGTGATTCCATGTTTACCAATCAGCACAATCCCTCCATCGTGGTCGCAACTGTTGGTTCAGGTTCATATTGTTTCAGTCCTTACTGGTATACTGAAGTTCATTTCTGGCCCTAACTGCCCAGTGTTAGCATGAAGCCTCCAAGTTGGGGACTCAGTCCTCCACATGAGCACCCCAGTTAAGATGCCACCTAACTCTCTCCCACTAGCCACAGATCTAGGAGTTTCCCATTATGACCTTCAGGTTGGTAATTTGCCAGTACAATTCAGGAAAGCGCTACACACAACTTTACAAAAAAGCATGCAGCCGAGTAAGAGGACAGCGTGAGGTATGGGAGGGGCCAAGTGCTCGCTCCCCATGCAGTCACCAATCAGGAAGCCCCACTGAGTTTCATTATCCTGAGTTTTTATTGGGGCCTCATTACTTAGACATGATTGAATAAATCATTGCCCTGTGACTGGCTTGATTCCCAGGACCTCTTCCCCTCCCTGGTGGTCAATGTGGCACAAAATTCCAAACTTCTAAACATAGTGTGATTTCTGTGGTGACCAACCCCCATCCTGAAACTCTAAGCGCCTGCAATGAGTCACCTCGTTAGCAAAAACTGGTGTCTTCTAAGAGGTTCATGAACAACAAAAACTTCTGTCACTTGGGAAATTACACATACTTTTAAAGCCCTGCCATTTGGGATGAAGACCAAATCTTGATTACACAACAGACGGTCACTGAGTTACCCAAACTGAACTGATGGACTCGACCCTACTCCACTTGCTGGAGCCTTTGGGAAAGCGCTGATCTTTTCTAGCTACAGTTGTTAAACTGGTAAATTGTAAGCTTGGAGTTGTTGATGGCATCTTGGCTATGTCCCCCATGTGGGGCCAACCTGCCCAAGAATGAACACAGTCCAGAGGAAAGCAAAGCTCAGAGCTTGGGGCCATATTCAAGTGGACAGTGCTTGAGCCTGTGGCTTCAGCTGTGCCTCAAGTCTTTTCTACCTTTGATTTTTCAATTGTGTGCACCAATTAGGTCCCCTTTTCTTATTTAAACTGTATTAAATTGGGTTTTCTATTTCTTGTCACTGAAGGCACCTACTACATCCCCTACTCCTGGGGAAGAAGTGTTTCTCCCTTTCATAGTAGTATGTTGGTTGTACCCAGGTCCTGGCTTCTATCCTTCCCTCATTTCCCAACCTCACTCCTTCAATGAGCATCCGCTCTACTGGTCCTTTGTCCCTTAGATTTCTGACATAATTAGGTCTCTCACACAATATAAACAAACAAGCAAACCTTTCCACACACTCAAGCTACAGTCCTCCATATCGCTCTCCTTGTCTTTTTATTTTTTGAAGATTTTATTTACTTATGCATACAGAACTTGGGTACAGGCCAGAGGTGCAGGAGTGGTGAGAGGGTTCACCAGAGGCAGAGCAGGGAGCAAAACAGATCCACGAAGTGCACTGCTGAGGGGAGCAGCAGGCAAGTCAGGGGAGGTCTGCCACGCCATGTGGGGCACCTACCTGCCTGGGGATTGAACTCCTGGTGAAGTGGCTGTGAGAAGCTTCATGGTGCTGCACTTAAACCTTTTGCACCACTAGGGAGGACCTATCTTTCCTTGTCTTTTTGGCCAAACTGTAAGACAGTTCCCACAATCCTCCTCCCCCTTTAGCTTCTATTTAGTCTTAAGCACAATACTATTTGGCTTCTGCTTCTACCACTTCCTAAAATTCCTCTTACCACAGTCAGTGCTATAGTCATTAGTTTTTTCCATAGGAGACAACAGTAATCCTGTAGATCCCTTGTTAGAATTTGTAGTCTGTCTAGTGCCACCCCACCCACCCCTTCACACACATTCCCAACTCCCTGCACTTTGATATATGATTTCTTATCCAATAGTTAAAAGTTCAGAGAGGCTTCACCAGAGACAGAGTGGGGAGCAGAACAGGCAGATCGACGAAGTACACTGCTGAGGGGAGCAGCGGGCGGGTCAGGAGAGGTCTGCCGCGCCATGTGGTCACCTCCGGGGCAGGCGGGAATCGAACTCATGCGGAAGTGGCTTTAGCTTCCTAGTGCTGTGCTTTAACCCGCTGTGCCACCAGGGAGGGCCCTGCATGTGACTAATTTTAATGAAGATTTCCGTTTCTTAGTCACAATGACCACATTTCAAGTATTCAAAAACCACATGTGGCTAGTGGCTAGCTCAGACTATTTTATTGGACATTTCCAAACCTAACTCATGACTGGCTCTTTCTGTATTCCTCAGCTGTCTATTAGAAAAGTATAGGCTGATTACAAAGAAAAGGTTATCAGGGAAGAGGGGAATGACCACAGACGTAGGGTAGTTTCCACTGAGATCCTCCCCTGAACTTGGAAGATGGATGACACACCAAAATAGTGACAAACACCTTAACAAAGGCATCTGTGAACTGATCTGAGTTTGGTTAGAGCAGGGATAGGGCTGGAGAATGGAGGCTGACTAGGCTAGAACTTGCCCTTACACAACGAATTTTTCCAATTCCATTTGGCAACCTCAGTCCTGAACAAACATTCTTATGTGAGTCAGGACATTTTATCTCCAATCTTTTGGGTCACTTGCCTCTGTGTTCCAGGATGAGTATTTGACCCAATTCATTTAGTTAATGTCAGTTCTGGAAATTTTACTGAAAATCTCAGTAAAAAGGTATATTCGTTTTACTAGAGGTGCTAGCCATTGGGACTTGTTTGGAGCTATAAGCTATCTTGCCAGTATGAGAGGGCAGTGTGCCTGACAGTGAAGTCAAATGAATGGGGAAAGCAAGGCCTGGTGGTGAACCACAGGTTTCTGGAAGTTTTTGGTCCTTTTATTGACCTGTTTTGAAGAAGTTTGGTAGACCGCACTTTTCACTTGCTCGAATCAACAAATTCCCTTACTGCTTACGCCAGCTGGATCTGAGTCAATGAAAGACCGAACTGATAACAGGCTTTCATCATGCTCATTTCAAGTACCTTCTTTACATTAATGATTCTTAATGTCTGTATCTGGCATGGGTGTCTCTCTCAAGCTCCTGACTGTAGGTCTACCGTCCTCCGGATTTTCCACACCTATCTAAAACTGACCTCCGTATTTCTACCGCCTGTATTTATTTCTCAGTGATAGAACTCCAGTTCCTTCACTCAAAGAGGCCTAGATTGTAAACTCAGGCTCGGCTTCCTCCAGGGGGGCCTCACCAAGGTCACCCGTGCCTTCCCTCAGCCCGCTCCTTGGGGACGGTGTCTTCTAAACGCAGCTGGGGCTGGGGGCAGGCGCTCTAGGCTGCCGCGGCCCTTCAGAAAGCCTTCTCATCTCGCTGGTTGCTGGTACCCGGTGGCTACTCTAGCCCCCAACAGAGACTCTATCCCCAAAGGCGGCTTCTCTATGGTTGACTTCTCTCCTTTGTCCCGAATGTCTTCCAGGAATACGTCCCGCTGGGATACAACCTTTTCCTACGACTGCTTCTATAGTCCCTTTTAGGTGCAACTGGAGACATCACTGAGTCCTCCGAGAGTCACAACCTCCTAGCCCCCTCTTACCGGGTCTACGCTTAGGAGGATGGCGGAAGTGAGAGTGAAGGTGCCCTTCCCTCTCGCCTTTCTTCTCTATGGTCGCTTCCTTTGGTGACGGGAAATGGGGTCTCGGCGCCTGCGCAAAGCCGACCTGGGCGCTAGTCGTGGAGGGAGGGGGCAGGGAGCGGGAGCTGCCGCCGCCGCCGGAGCTAACCGCGGGGACCGAGATGCAGGTGGGACCGGAACCGGAACCCCCCTCTTCAAGTACCTCTTTCCTCTCTGCGACCCGGCCCCGGCGCCTGAGAGGGGCCCTGGGTGGGGGCGGGCGTGGGGGCAGGAGGCAGGAGGGGCGTCCGGCCCGGGAGAGTGCAGCCGACGGGGCTGATCCCGAGTAGGCTGCGGCCCGGGGGAATGGGCGGGTAGAGGGTGTCCAGGGAGCAGGGTCTGGTCGGAGTGGATGGACCACCGGGCCGGGAGGGTCCGAGCCGGGAGCGGAGCCTGCAAACTCCACCACCCGCCCTTCGGGAAATAACAGAATTGAGCCAAGAGGCAGGTGCACCGGGAAAATGTGTCTGAGTCCTGCTTGGCAGAAGAGAAACTGAGTCACCAGCTCAGGAGCCGCAGGGTCAGCGGGCCTGAAGGGGGCTGGGTCTGCCTGTGGTGCAGAGGGTTGGGTGGGCCGGTGTGAGCTGAGGTGGCCTCCGCCTGGAGATTAGTCTCTGCTGTGTCTGCACCTCTTGGCTCGGTTCCCCTGTGCTCCATGATTCTTGCACCTCCTGGCATTTTCTCGTTGGCTTGGAGTGGTCCCTATGATTGGAGCCATCTAAGTGTGTAAGGTTTAGGCCAGGAGGAAGGGGGGAGGGGTCGATGACTGTGAGTCTGAGCTGGAGCCTGAGGTCTTTGAGGGTTTAGGAAGATTTTCCTGAGCTGCCCTCACCCCAGTCCTGGAGTCAGTCATCTTCCAGTGTAATGTGGGGGCTAGCTGGGGGCTATCCACATGCCCAGCTCCTACGCTTACTACTTGTAAGACCTTGGCAAGGATTTCTCTGTTAGAACTTCAGAACCCATAAAGATAATAATAATGGCAGTCACTTACTGTGTTCTTACTTTGTGTCAACCGCTGACACATTCCATTTAGTTCTCCCAACAGTTCTATGGGTTCAGAATGTTAGCTGTTTTGTAGATGTGAAAACCGAAGCTCAGGAAGGAATACAGTTTGTTCAAGATCACACCGCAAATGGGTGGCAGAAATTCACCAAGTCTGACTCCAGAACCTATGGCCTTAACTTACCAGCCTTTAGGGCACACTCCCCAGCAAGAGAGGGGGGATGTGGTGATAAATCCTAGGGTCCCAGCTCCCTGTTATGTTTTATTTCTTTGTGGCCAGCAAAGACTTGCCCTGATCCAACCCACAGTTTTTCCTTGCCTGCTACTGCTGTCTCTGGCCCCAGCCTGAAGGCCACCAAAAAAGTGGGCTGAGGCCATTTCAAGTCTTCTTTGCTCAGCTCTTGGGTACTGAGTCCTGAGGTCAGCTTTCAAGACAATTGCTGTGTTGTTGTTGTTGTTTGTTTTTT